CTGCGCTTTATTATATAGAGATTTTTGCACACTAGACTCAAATAAAACAAGAAGGTTGTCCTAACGAAATGGTAAGATGAGATTAAAAACAGAGAAATCCTAGTTTTTATGAGTAGATACAATGAAGCGAAATCAAGAAGTTGTGTTCAAGATGTATCCGGACGCAACGAATTTGAAATCATAAGTAAAAAACAAATTTGGAAGAGGGATCATTCTAGCAGTACACTGACGCACTCCGTTCACCCGTAAGGTGACGCATCGTTGGTCAGTATGTTTCAATGGAGTTCACCCGATGTCAGCAAGATCCAGCATAAAGTAGATTTGAATTGCTTTTGCTTTTTGAAGTGATTGTGCTGAGAGAGGCAACCTGTTTGTAATTTTGTTTGGTAGAAGTCAGCTATTTTCGTGATTTCTCAATTCGTTTAGAACATCTAGGAAGTATCTAATTTTGTTTCAGAACCCAGAAATATGCCATCTTAGGACATGAGCAAGTTGTTGAAAGTTCACACTGAGTGGTTAGACTCTATAGGATATTCGCCTTACGTCTGGCTCCGAGGTGACTGGCATCAACCCCTCCATCTCTTATCGAAACTGCTGGCCGTGCAACTGCAAGAGAGGTCTCATTCTGTTATCTTTGTTGTTTTTGTTCCAAAATTGTCTCTTTCAGAAGGCCACCCAACTCTGGTGATGATGTCGCATTCAAGATTGGATTCAATACTGTTTGCTCTTTTTTTCCAATCTTATCTTCACTCTTAAATCATTCCATTTGCAGATGTTGCAACTTGCTGAAGAAACACTGGGAATTCCTTGTCTCATCACGGAAAAGGATCTGATGATAAAGTATCCGAATATAATGCTTGCGATGTTGGTTTATCTCATTTGTGTCAAACACTCGGTGGATTTCATCGATCCAAGTGCGTTCTATACATATCTTATAGCAAAGAATAATCTTCAAAGCTGTTTCTTTCTTCAAAGACAGACTAAGTATATATCGTAAATAATTTCCAATTTTCTTGTTTCCTTACCGTTCTTAGAATCTCTGCGTCACGTAGTAGCTCCGAAACTAGTTTTCGAAGCTAGGAATGGTGGAGATGCTCAGTTTCCCAGATGTGCCTCCTGTCACGAACATGTATTTATTTTTGAGCGAGTAAGCTTCATTCCTTTTTCTTAGTCGTGTTTGAAATAGATTAAAACTCAAAATTATTTCAAGATTATCGTAGAGGCCATCGTGTGGCATAGACAGTGTTTCAAATGTGTGGAATGCAACGCCCCTATGAGAGCTGGGGGCTTCAAGAAGGGGAAAAGAGGATACGAATGTGTTATTCATGCTATCAGACGTATCCTGGATGCAGCAGAGTGAGATTCCATTTTTATAATCACTTTACCTTCAACGCCTTATCCACATACTAAGCCTTTATTGAGGGAAAAGAAGACTTTTCGACCAAAAATCGCCCCACCTGCGGCGCCTTCGCCTAGCCCTTCAAGTGTAGGAATGAAAAGAGAAGCGGAGAATTCGGTTCCACCACCAATTTCCCCAAAACCTCGACTTCCCTCTGGTGGCAAAACCAAACCTCTGCCTCCTCCTAAGCCTGCCAGGTTTTCTTCTTCTAAGGAATCTAAGTTGGTGCAAGATGAAACCAGAAAAGAAATGAAGGTACCATTTGAAATATTATGCTTTTTTAGATTCATTTCTTTGTAACTTTTTGATAGACGCTCATTGATAGGCTCGTGAATACGAAGAGGTTTCCATCGAATCGGAAAATTCCGGGGACTCTGGTATTGTTGTTAAGGCGCAGAATCTTTACGTCGATACAGACTCGGAAGGATACCAATTCGTTGGTGTAAGTCTTTTTTTTTCTTTGAGTTTCCCATGTTCGTCGTTTAGCTGCGAGTCAGCTCATACAAGATTACAATGGAGATCTATTTAGGTTACAGCTTCGGCGCCGTTGCTAACCCTTTCGACTGAAGCAAGCGTCCCGGGTGAGTCTATCGGTAGCGCAATTCCGTTTTCTTAGTTTTCGCTCAGAGTAACATTAAAGTGGCCCCTCCACGTCCAAAGCGTGCCTCGCTTCTTCTAAACGCTGGGACAACTTCTCGAATATTAAATACCGCATCGTCCTCAAGCACACTTCAATCGCAAACGTCTTCTCCCCGGCGTTTAAGTTCAGCAAACAAGCTAGCTGAGGTTGGTTCTAGTCAACGCTGGTTTTCACTTTTGTTTTACTCAAAATTAGTTCAATCTCCATTATTTTATATTCAAGTCTGATTGTCAATCAACTTCATCCAGCTTTGTGCTTGAAGACTACCCGGATGACCTATGCCCCTTTGGGGAGGACGACGATGTAAACTTTTCTTTGAATCATCATTTCATAGAAATTCGGGAGATGGCTTTATAGGTAGACTATGATGAGTCAAAGAATCCTTTCGCTGACAGCGACGATGATAGCAGCATTTTGGAACCTATTTCTGCTCCAAGAACGTGAATCTTCCAAGCTTATTGCTTACTATCATTGTTTTTCTCGATTATCCGCTTTAGATAGCCATCATCTGGGTATCAGATTTGCTTTTAATTCTAGCGCAACTCCTTCCTCTCTTTTACCCGGAGAATCAGACCGTCCGAAATGCACCCCACCACCACCTCCTCAGTTAACTGCGTCTATCAGCCCGGAAGAGGTAGTATCTCTGCGATGGAATTTTTGCTGTGCTTCAAATCATGTTCCAGAGTAAACGAAGATCTTTTATCAGTGACGATAAGTGTCACACGTTAAAGATTTCCAGGAAAACAGTCCGAGCACCGGTTCCTCCAACTACTTGTAAGAGAAAGGTACCAGTTCATGCACTATTATCTTCCCGACTAATTCTGATAATGAAGTCACCAGTCTTTAATCTCAGATTATGTTCACCGACCACAAAACACTGGGTGATACGATTGATATTGCCAGCAAGCTTGAAAGTCTTGATGAAGAATTATCTAAAATCGTAAGGGAAGGAAAGCAACTAGAGGTTGAAATGCTATTTCTCATCACTCAAAGTATGTTTACTTCTTCTTTGTTTTCATGTACTAACAAGTAAATCGTTTTTAAAGATCCCAGCGGCTGGCTGAAAATGCCCAGAACTGAAGAATTCATTGCTGTTATGTGCCGATTTTTGGACAAACTAAAAGAAAGCTGTTTCCTGCAGTACATGTCCGTTCAGAATTTCTCAATTTTTTCTCTTGCACGAGAGTTAACATTATAGGTGGAGGGAAGCATTTCTTAATGAGATCCATTCGGAAACTGAGTACCATCTTCGATGCATCGTTGAAAAAGAAACACAGGATAGTAAGCATATTTCTTCTCTTCTCTATCTGTATTAAGGCACTTTTTCCGCAAACGTGATATAAAATTTATTTTTGCTAAATTTATTTGATACTAATCTTTTTTTCATCTTTGATTTTTGCAAAAGTGCAAAAAATAGATGGCTTTAGGAACCACAGTTTATGTGATTAGAGTTTGATTTCATAGCTTCAGTTCAAAAGCACAGTACAATTTAAGGTGAAACAATTGAACGCGAAAAGCAATTG